CAACAGGGGCCTGGGCATGGCCTGAGGCTGGGTACCAGGGCAGCCAGACCTGTTGGCAAGGTGGCTTGGGAAGGGTCTGTCAATGGCTGGGCAGCAGGACAGTGCCTGGTAATGTGGTGACATGGACCCTGTGATGGTGCCACGTGCCCTTCATGCCGCAGCCCAGCCACCACGTGTGTGTGCTGGTCTCCCTGTGCAGCCACAGCATGAGGCTGTGGCTCCTCTTCCATGGAGCAGTGTCCTCATGCAGTCAAGGGGATTCATTGTCACCTCTTCCCTGGTATCGCTGCTCCAAGCTGCAGTAAAGCAAGGCAGCTCCTGTGCTTGGCACAGGGGTGCTCATGACACCACTCTTTGCCTGCAGGAGCAGCCAAGGCCAGGGAAAGCCAATGTGGGGATGCTGCAGCCTGACTCTGCTCAGCAGAGGTGAGTGCCTCCGCCCCAAGTTGTCTTCAGGAGTCTCTGCATGCTCCTGGTCTCTTCTCCTCCTAAATGACCAGATATTCCCATGTCTATGGCATGTGTGAGGGCAGAAAGCTCTGTTAGGGCTCTGACTGACCCTGGTCCAGCCAAGCTCCTCCGTGGCTACCTCCTGGGTGGGTTGTCCTGGGTACATTCCATGTCTCTCCTGGTGCTCACAGGGAAAGCTGTGGTCTGCAGAGTAAAGCCACCATGCTTTTCCCTTTGTATAGGCAGGAAGAGGGGTCATCCTGTGATGAAGAGCCCCTGTGCCCTGGGGACATATTAGCAATGGATGCTCCTGAACAGAAATCTCTGCCAACCTACAAGAAATCCCTGCGGCTGTCCTCTGAGCAGATCGTACGTACTTCACTGCTCCTTCCCTGCTTGTGTGTGCTGGGGTGAGACAACCCTCAGACAGGGATTTCTCTACTCCCGACTCATGTTTTTATAGGGCACCCATGTATTTTGCCCTGGGTGGGTACCCTGCAGAGTTTTAAGGTCTCTGGTCTGTCTGAGTGGCAGTCTGGCCCATGGCAAGCCTTGGCCTGGCATGAAGCTGTGCTGATGTACTGCTCTGTTCCTCCTGTGCCCCAGGGAAGGCTGAATCTGCAGGATGGCCCTAACGAGGTGGCGTTCAGTGTGACAACCCAGTACCAGGGCACGTGTCGCTGTGAGGCCACCATCTACCTGTGGAACTGGGACGACAAGGTGGTGATCTCTGACATCGACGGCACCATCACCAAGTAAAGGGCTTTTCTCTCACCACACACCCCTGCTCCTGATGTTAGGGAGCATGTGCTTACAAGGCTTGTGCATGCAGCCAGGAGGGACCTCAGATCCGTCATGGTGGGCAGGGGTACCCCACTGGCTTCGATCAGCCTAACCTGGTCTCATTTCCTTCTAGGTCGGATGCTCTTGGGCACATTTTGCCGCACCTGGGGAAGGATTGGACTCACCATGGGATTGCTAAGCTCTTCCATAAAATCCACCTGTAGGTGCTGGATCAGGTGACGCCAGGGGGAAGCGGGAGGATGGTGAAGGAGAGGCTGGGTGGGAGACGGCGTGGTCTGGATCCCGCAGCGCTTTGGGTTGAAAGGTCCTTAAAGCCCATCCAGTTCCACCCCTGCCGTGGGCACCGGCACCTTCCCTGGGCTGCAGGAGCTGGGCCCGCGCACGGCGTCACCCGAGCGTGAGTGCCCGCGGCCGTGGCCGCTAGGAGGCGCTGTGGGCCCGCGGGTCGGGACCCGCCGTCGGCAGGAGCCCGTCGGGCCGAGGCGTGAGGCTGGCGGGGAGCGGGCTCAGCCCGGGTCCGTGTTGGGTCCGCTGTGCCTGGAGCCGCCCGCTTGCTGAAGGGGTGAGCAGGGTCGGGCTGAACAGGTTCGACCTCCTCGTGTTGGGAGGCGCAGGAGCCTGCCCTGCCCGAGGGCTCAGCTCCGAGGGCTCCCTGTTCTCCCGCTAGGAATGGCTACAAGTTCCTGTACTGCTCAGCCCGAGCCATCGGCATGGCGCACATCACCAAAGGCTACCTCAAATGGGTCAACGAGCAGGGCTGTGGACTCCCCAAGGGCCCCATCCTGCTCGCCCCCAGCAGCCTCTTCTCTGCCTTCCACAGGTACCACATCCTCTCCTGCCAGCCCTGCATCCCGTGTCCCTGGGGATGGCACCCCCTACCCCAGGTTGATGCTGAGGGATGTCACAGCCTTGAACTGTTTCTGCCCTCCCTGGAGCTGCCTGGGAAGCTCCTCATGCACAAAACCTCTCTTGCCCTTCACATCACTTCTCTGGCCTCGGGCAGCCTGGCTGCCCCCAGTCCTGAGCAGCTGATGCCATCTGACCTCTGCTCTGTGCTTCAGGGAGGTGATTGAGAAGAAGCCGGAGGTGTTCAAGATTGCCTGCTTGAAGGACATCCAGAACCTGTTTGCCACCAAGCTGCCCTTCTACGCGGCTTTTGGGAACAGAGCCAACGTGAGCGGGTCTCGTGGGGAGAAGGGAGGGCTCGGGCTGGGGCAGTGGTGCCTTCCTGCAGCTCTCATGCCCCGCTGGCCTGCCTTGGGCAGGATGTCTGTGCTTACAAGCAGGTTGGCCTGCCGGAGAGCCGCATATTCACAGTCAACCCCAAGGGAGAGCTGATCCAGGAGCTCACGAAGAGCCACAAGTCAACGTAAGCAATGGGCCTGGTCCTTGGCATCTTTGGGTTAACCTGCCTTTAACCCCCAGGAGCATCTCCCGGGGTAGAAAACAAAGCCCCAGTGACCTCAATGCAACTTCTCTCTTGCCCCCATAGGTACGAGCGGCTGTCAGAGCTGGTGGAGCTCATCTTCCCTCCTGTGGGCCAGAGCGGGAGCATGGCTCTGGTGTGCCCAGAGTACAGCCACTTTGCCTACTGGAGACCCCCACTGCCTGCTGTTGACTTGGATGCCTTCTCTTGATCTCGTCACCTGTGGAGAGCTGACCCAGGGCTCTTCTATGCATCCTCTGCCAGGATGGGATGCTCCAGATACCTCTGCTCCTCTCAGCTTGCACTTTGCACTTCTCACAGGGGTCATGTTCTGCACTAGAAACACTGAGTAGGGGCCCAGAGAGCTCTGACTCTACACAACCTGCATTTAACTGAAATGAAACTCCTGTAAGCTGGGTCCCTGACTAATGTTCTCAACACCTTTAAAAGTGGTGATGGGTCACTCACTGTCTTACTGATGAGCATAACTATTGCTATCTCCAGTATGACCAGTGTTCCCACCAATCCAGCTACCTGCAGATTGGATGCTGGTGGAGTGAAGCTGTCTTGTGGCTTAACAGCTTGTTAAGGTGGCTGGAAGCTGTTTGGGTGTTCTTCAGTAACAGCAGTTACCCTATGCTGCCTCTTGTGTGCTACAGCCCTGTGCATGGAAATGAGAGGCAGGCTCCATGATCTTCTACAGCTGCGGCTGAGTTTGTGCCAGGTGCCCTGCCAGGAGCATCATCCTGGTGGAGATGAGGGCAGGACCTGTGGAGCAGGGCGCTAGAAAAGGCCTTTTCTTTCTTTCTTTTCCTTCTTTCTTCTGCCTTCAGGTACTGGCACAGACCTGATTTCATACAGGAAGCAAAGCCTGGTTTTATGTGCATGGGTTGAATCTCCTGCTGCAGTCTCATGCTAGGGCAGGAGCTTGTTCCTGTGCCCTGCAGCAGAGCATTCAAGGAAAGCTGGGCTGCCTCAAAGCGGGTTTGTGTTGGGACTCAACTGGGCTGTACTGGGTGAGGGACCTGTCCAAGCCTGGTGCCCTGCTCTGGGAACTCTCAGCTGTGACTGCATAAACTGACCCAGGCAGGAGCACTGCTGGGCCCATTCCCCACCATGGCATCCCCATTCTCCTTCCTGTGTCACTGGTGTGAGTGTAAATTACTCTGCCTGCCTTGTGGTGCAGCTCTGCTCTCCTGCAAGCCCCACGCATCACTGTGATCTGCAGACCTCAGCAAGAAATACTTTATTTTTGTCTTTTCCAGTACAAACACGTTTTCAGCTTTAAAAATCTGAACAAATGTACAAGGTTTTAAACACAATAAAACACAGCCTTTTACCAGCATCACTTAGCAACTGCCTCGGAGCATTGCCTGTGCAAGGACAGCCCCATGGGCACCATCTCCTTCCCTCTCTCCAAGCAAAACCACAATAAAAATGCCCTATTTTTACAGAGTTCCTTCACTTTTTAAACACGAATAGCTGAGAACTGGAATACAAACTGTCCATAGCTTCAAGTGACTCGTCAGGTATAGTCCAAATATAGCACCATTTTCTGGAAGGTCAGACTTCTTCCTTGTCCTGGGTTTGTTATGGCCAGTCCTGGTCCCTCTCTGCTGGAGGCAGCCACTGCTGTTGAGCTGCTCTGCCCCAGCCCTAGGAAGGGGGAGCCTGGCCCTTGGCTTGGCCTTCTCTTTGGTTGTTCTCTTTGCAGTCTGTTTTTTCCCTGTTGAGGGGATGGGGATGGGGCTTGGGCAGGATGCTCCAGTGGGGTGAGGGTTGGCCTGAGCCTCCTTCCTGGACTGGGGAAAAAGCCTTGGGTTTTGTTGTCCACAAGCAGGTTTTGCAGGATGGCCAAAGGCAGCCGGAGGTCCCCCTCGGCTGGAGAAGTGCTCAGGAGCTGCAGCACTGCTCCAAACCAGCCAAGGCCAGAGCAGCAGGAGTGGATTCGGGTGCTTGGAGCACCTGGCAGCCCTCTGAGCTGGCGGGGATAAGTGAGCGGTGGGAGACCAGGTCCTCTCTCCATCTCACACAGCTGGACCATGATCCCCTGGCAGGGGAAAGAGCTTCTACCACATCAGGGTAACACGATGTGACCACAGTGATCCCTGCTGCCCTCGCTAGCCTGGGAGCATCTGATCCAGGGAGTTCATCCAGTTTCTACGGCGGAGAAAAGGCATCCGGATACATCTCTGCTTTGTGCTGGTCAGAGCACAGAGCTGCTCCTTTATGGGGTCATGGAGCAGGCACAGCCTGGTGGGGGGAATGAACACCAGGTGGAAGCTGAAGGCCAAGCTGGTGTGGAAGGGTCCATGAGCTGATGGAAAACCATGGTCCTCTGCTATAAAGTGCCAGAGCTGGTCAGATGGAAGCTCTTTCATCTCTCCTTCATCCTTTCTGGTAGTGAAGTTGTGTTGGCTGAGCAGCAGGGGACATCCATGCCAGGCTCCCTGGGAGAGGTGGCTTTTGTGAGCCAAGGGCACTCAGTCCAGGCTCCGGCTCCATAGGGCAAGGCTGGAGCTGCTTGGGAACACGTTCAGTGTTCTCCAGCCTGCCTGTCTGTGGGAAAGCAGCCAAGCTGGCTGTGTAAATCACAGCTTCTTCATTCCCAGGCTGAGCTGAGGACTCAAGACATCTTCTCAAAGGTACCCTGCTCTGCACCAGCGTGGGTCCCCAGGGCTGCTGGCATCCCAGTGAGCTCAGAGGAACATGAGGAGGATGCAGACTCCTGCTCTGCACAGGGAGAGCCTCACACTCAGCCCCTGGAGCTCTCCTGCCCTGGCATGAGATGAGGAAAACCATGTTCAGTTTCAGTGATAAAACAGGAGAAAAGCAGAGCTGGAGGAAGGGACTGCTCCATGCCCAGCTCCTGCAGAGGCTTATGGACACACGTCTTGTGGGGGAAGACACAGGTTTTCCATAACCCTTCCTATTGGCCCCAGGTGTAAGCAGTGAGCAGAGCACAGTGGGGCTGCGGGACATGGATGTCCTGAGGGACAGGTTTTAGCTGCTCAATTGGTTCTTCAATGTACAGCAAGGGACATGTGGGCAGCAAGAGGAGACTGCAATCAGATGAGCACCATAGCAAGGGATTGTTCAAAAATATACATACACATACCATACATATGTGTATGCATGTGTGTGTTTTCCTAATGCAGATCCTCACATGCTCCATAAGGAGCATGCACAGTGTAGATGGATTTATGGCACGTGAGGTGGGCTGCTGTCTCAAGGGGGAAGGCAGCACCCAGGGGATGTGTGGGCACGTGTGTTCTCTGAGATCCACAATTCCTGTGGTGAGTTTTGCTCCCTGTCCGGAGCCCCGGCTCTGCTCAGTCCCTTCATTAAGATGCAGGTGGTCTTCAGGTCACAGAGCCTCTATTCCTCAGCCGGTAACTACAGGGGTTTAGTCTTCAAGAAGTGACAAATCCACACAAATAAAATACACATCCTCCCCTTTCTGCTTCCAGCTTCCTCCTGAGTTGTCCTTCTGGGGTCATCAGCCCAGGAGCCAAAGCAATGCCGCAGCCAGAGCAGTGATGCTGCTGCACCAGGGTCAGGGCTGGCAGGTACTGATGGGCACCTTATGGAGGAGTGGGGCAGACAGGATTAAAAATAAAAATAAAGGGGTTGTAGCAGCTTTTAATTTATCTTTTCACTAAAAAAAATATCCCAAGAGCTGTTGTCACGTTGGAGCAAGTCTGTGTGATGGAAGTTAATCCCGTCCTTCACAGGGAGGAGAAGGAAGAAGCACGTGGCAACACGGCTAATGCTGCTTCCCCTGCGCCTGCTCTTCCAAGTGGCCAACCTGCTCAGCCAGCTCGGAGACCTTGGCCTGGCAGTCCATCAGGTTGTCCTTCAGTCCCGTTATTTCCTGAGAGTGGGCAGCCAGGGTCCCGTTCATGTGGTCCATGTAGTCCCACAGGCTGCCCATGTGTTTCTCCAGTTCATCCCTGACGCCATCCAGGCTTCCCGTGATGGCTCCCAGCCTGCCACAGGCGCTCTCCACCCGGGCCACCCGGTCATCGAAGTGAGCAATCTCCTTCTGCAGGTCATGGGCCACGTTCTTGCAGGAGCTCAGGTCGTTGATGATCCTGGCTTTGAGTCGCTCCAGATCTCCCTTGAGGTTGAGGACACGCCGGTTGCTGAAGAACAGTTGGGAGCCTTGGTCGTTGACCTTCTCCTGGATGGAGTGGACCTCATCCTCAATCTTCCGCTCGTGCTCATCCAGGGAGGAGTTGACGTGTGTCACGGTGTCCGAGTACTGGGAGACAGAGTCCTTGAGCCCCATCAGGGACTTGCTCACGGTGTTCAGGTTGATCTTCAGCAGGGTGATCTCCCCTTGCAAAGCCCCCGACGCTTCCTCCTCAATCCGCCGCTGGATCTCCAGGATGGTGGCGTTCAGCTTGCGCAGGAGGTCGTAGTTGCTGTCCATGCGCAGGAGCAGGTCCTGGTTCTTGCTCTGGCAGTCTTCGATCTCGGTGCGGAAGGTCTCCACGTCTTTGGAGGCGGAGCTGCAGCCCAGGGAACAAGTGCTCTCCAGCGTGACGAGGCGATCCTGCAGCACCTCCAGTGCCTCGTCTGTCTGTTTCCTCATGCTGGCAAGCTCCCCCTCCAGCACGGGCACCGCCGCACCGTCCATTCCCATGGGAGAGCTCACATTGTTCAGCTCCCCCACGATGGTCATGAACCTGTCCTCCAGGGTCTGCATTTTGTCTTCAAAGGCAGTCCTCATGCCGTCCACCTCTGCCACCACCGTGCCTCTCATGCTGTCCTCTATACCAGAACAGCAGCTCCCCGTTTCTCTCTCTGTAGCATTGAGTCTGGCTTCCAGATCTTCAAAGCGCCCTTCAAAAAGGTTCCCTAGGGTGACAGTGGAGATTTCTCCATCCAGCCGGGAGTGCAAGTTCTTCTGGGACTCAGAGATGCTGTGGAGGCCTTTCTCAAGGATGTTCATGCGATCGGTGAGGTAGTCCAGGTTGCTGCAGCAGCTTTCCACTACTGTCAGCCCTTGGATCTGGGTCTCCAGCTGGGAGATCTCTTTCTTGATCTCGAGCTCCTTCCCGTCCAGCGTCTGCTGCAGCCGCAGGTTGGCAGCTTTCTCCTCCTCGCACTGCTGCCGCACCTCCTGGATCCGGAAATCACACGTGCTCTGGAGCTTGCCCAGCTTCTTCTCGAAGCCGTCGAGCAGCTCCCCGCGCAGGTTGCTCAGCCTCGTGTCCACGTACTCCTCCAGCAGGTCGATGGAGGTGAGGGGCGAGGGCCGGGCTGACTCCAGCAGATGCTTGATCTGCCCGTCGTGGTCCAGGACCATGCCGCGCACCTCCTGCAGCAGATCTGCCTTGGTCTTCAGCACGTCGCTCACCTCCGTCACCTTGGTCAGGATGTCCCCCACGGGAGGGAACGCGGCGATGTCGGCCTTGTCCGCCGCATCCACCAGGCTGTCGGGAATGATGCCGAAGCCCACCGTGGAGTCCGGCGTGCCGGGGCTGTTCATCAGCGAGCCGATCATCCTGGTGGTGTCCTCCTGGATGGCGAGGCGCAGGCGGTCGCCCAGCCCGCTCACCATGGTGTGCAGGCTGTCGTAGGACTGGGAAAGGCGCCTCACCTCCTCCTCCAGCCGGTCCAGGCGGTCCCCGAAGAGCCCCGGCAGCTTCCTGCCTGAACAGGGAAAGGAACAGAGACAGTCAGGGCTGGTGTTCCTTCAACTTCCCTCCTTGGCTACCTCCTAGGTGAGAGTCCTTTCCCATACTAGCATTAGCTCCTGCACCCCTCTTAGTGCCATGCTAGAGAGCTATCAGCCCACCCTTCCTCCTTTCCTCTACATCTCTTCTTAAGCTGATCAAGAAACCCTTTCCCCTTGGGATCAAGCCCTCTGTTCAACAGCAGGTGATGAGAGCAGCCTGGGGGAGCTTTGTCTCGAGACACACTCTGTTGACCCCAAAAATTAATGGGAAATGCTTTAAAGCAACAAGAGAAATTTCACAGCTGCACATTTTGAAACAAATGACATTTAAGAAGCAAGTGATCCTCAAAGCAGTCAGTGCCAGATCTTGGATCAGAGAGCACGTCATCCACGGATGGTTTGCCTAATTCATGTCCTGTGCTGGAACAGCACAGAAAGAACCAGGAGCTGTGAGAGCATGCGGTGGTGAGGTAACCTGGGGATGTGAAGCAGGAGCGAGATCTCACCATAGTGATTTTTCTTTGGTCCTGGAAACAGGTCAGGGTGGCTTTTGGGATAGGGAGGAAGCCTGGGGATTGGAAACATCTGCCCGGGAGGCACCTTGGGGCTGGGCTGCTGGGGCAGGAGGCCGGGTTGGTCAGTGGGGCTGTCGTGACACCCTTCTCCCATGAAGCCGGGGCAGCACCTCCAGGCCAGCTCAGTCACTGTCTTGTACCCAATCTTGTATTTGGGCCTGAAGAAGGTGCGGTACCTTTCCAGGAGAGGGGAGCAAGAGAGAAGTCAATTTAGAGAAGCAACCTCAATGTCAAGCAATAGAGAAGAGGGGGGTCATGGATCCTGTTGGGTGCATGGGAAAGCCTGGCTGGGACCCTTGTTCTGCACCTGCAGACCATGACCCACCTCCTCCAAGAGCTCTTGCTGCCCCATAGGTCAGGGTAGCAGCACAGTGCTCATCACACCACAACAACAGAACCCGTGCCCACCCTCTCCAGGACTGGAGCACAAGGTCTGAGAGCACATGGTGAGAGCACAGTCCTCCCCAGCAGGATGACAATGCAGACAAGCCTGAGAACCAGCCCGGGGTGAGGAGGGACTGGGTGAGCAGAGCCGTTAGTCCTGAACCTGTGGGTTCTGGTGAGCTGCTTCGGTTGGAATCGGTTTTAACCTGAGACTCCCGTTGTTAGTTTGGAAAATCACAAATGTTTTCATTGCTTTGATCTCTGCCCCCATAGATGACCACAGTGACAGATGACACACAGTCTGGCACCTTTTGGCCCGGGAGAGCACAAGATCATAGATTCCCAGACTGGTTTGTGCCAACACAAAACTTAAAGCTCACCCAGTTCCAACCCCTGCCACCGGCAGGGACCCCTTCCACTGGAGCAGCTTGCTCCAAGCCCCTGTGTCCAACCTGGCCTTGAGCACTGCCAGGGATGGGGCAGCCACAGCTTCTCTGGGCACCCTGTGCCAGCGCCTCAGCACCCTCACAGGGAAGAGCTTCTGCCTAAGAGCTCAGCTCAGTCTCCCCTCTGGCAGGTTCAAGCCATTCCCCTTGGCCTGTCCCTACAGGCCCTTGTCCCAAGCCCCTCTCCAGGTTTCCTGCAGCCCCTTTAGGCACTGGAGCTGCTCTAAGGTCTCCCCTTCAGGAGCCTTCTCTTCTCCAGGCTGCCCCAGCCCAGCTCTCTCAGCCTGGCTCCAGAGCAGAGCTGCTCCAGCCCTCATAGCATCTCCATGCCCTCCTCATGTGCACACTGAAGCCAGGTCATGGGGAGCTTTTCCTCATCCAACACCCCCGAGTCCTTCTCCTCAGGACTGGGATGAAATGATTTGTGAGCTGATGGCCCATGTGTGTGGAAGAGACATTTCCCTCTCATGTGTGATGCAGCATCTGAGGCTGTGCAGAAAACTGAGCTGCAGGTCCAGAAAACACCCTGTTTTCAGCCCAGTTTTGTTGGAAGGGCTGGAGGGGCTGAGCAGCAGACAATGCAGAGATGGGAGCTGCTTTGGGCATCTCCTTCACAGGTACCAGCAACTGCAGGATGTCCTCAAGTCCCCAGATGCTGCTAAAACACTTGTGATGGGAAGAAGGGACTTTCAAAGCTCATGCAGTCCAAGCCCCTGCGATGAGCACAGGGACATCTTCAGCTAGATCAGAGTGCCCAGAACCACCTCCAGCCTGGCCTGCAGTGGCTGCAGGGATGCACCCCACCAGCTTCCCATGGTTTCCTGATTTAATTCTGATCAGGGATCGATCTCCCTGCCCCTCCTGACAGATCCCATCCTGCTTCCCCCCAGCACCCCTGCCCTGCACTGACTGCACACAGCCCTTCAGCCCCTTCCGCTGTGCTCTGAAGAGCAGGGTTCATGGTCAGATGGTGGCACGGAGCTTCTGGAGCCCGAGGAGGGCTGTGGCCTGGTGGGAAGGGAGCCATGGCCTGGGGTCCCCCATACTCACAGCACTTTCCCTGGGCACTTGGGTCCCCAGCTGCACTTGTGGTACTCAGCCTTGACGTAGCTCTCGGCCCCGTCCTGCAGCACGCACGTCACATTGCGCTGCACCACGTAGGCACAGTAGCTCCTGTGGGGAAGCACAGGGAGACCCCATCAGCACCCGGCTGTGCCACCCATCCCAGGCAGCTCTGCATGACCCTGCTGCTGCACCCCCCGTCCCAGCCCACCCCACACACTGGGAACAGGGACAGCAGAGGGGCCTGGGGAGAGCAGGGAGTGGGGATGGAACAGGGTCCCCAGTGCCAGCCTGCTGCTGGGTGCCTGGGCTGGGTTATGAACTGGGTCCCAGCACCCAGCTCCAAGCCTCCCTGCACCCAGCACTGCCCAATCCCACCAGCCCCCGTGGTGCCATCCCCAGCAATGTGGAGGAGCTTCTTCCTCAGCCCATGGGGCCCCGGCACCTCTCCTCTGGGTTAAGGGGAGCAGCTGTGTTGGTGCTGGAAGCAGGCTGAGCACCCTCACCTCTGAGGTGCTGCTGTGCATGGGAGGCCGGGTGCTGAGGGCAGTTGCTGCCCTCACAGTCATGGCCACGTTGCTACCAGAGCCTCAGAGCTGGGCTGTGCTGGGCACATCATGGCCGGGGAGGACACAGCAGAACCCCACCTGCAGCAGCAGTTATGGGAACAGCAAGCCAGAAACAGCTCCAGCAGCATCTGGCAGGGGCAATGTCCTTCTGGGGTGCTGCCAGCCCAGAAGCCTTTGGACCTTGCCATGGGCACTGTCACACTGGACCGTGTGTGATGCTACAGTGAGCAGAGGAAGAGGAGGTGCTGGCTGGCTGCTCTGTGGGCCTGCAGCAACACAGCTCCCTCCACCAGGGAGGCAGGAACAACCCAGGTTCCAAGTGGGATGGAGGCTGGAAACTTCCTCAGACCCCTTGGACGGAGCAGAGTCTCTTGTTGTGGTGCCTGCAGCCAGCTCCGTGCACTCTGAACTCTCCAGAGCTGAGCAGCAAACCCAGGCACTGAGGATGAGGTGCCTGGGAGGAAGGCTGCGTGGGAAGGGTGCAGGAGCACTGGTGGGACAGATGGAGATAGAAGCTGCTCCAGCTGAAGGCAGCGCTGCTGCAGGAGCAGATGGACGTGGCCCACAGGGGCAGAGACAGCAGGGATGTGAGGTGAGGGAGGGATTAAGGACACAGGGACGTGGCAGACGGCCAAGCGGGAGGAGAGGAGGATGCAGGCACACAGAGCAGGGCCCAGGCAGGAGCAGATGGGCCGGCACAGGGTGCTCAGTGACGCGGGAGGACCCAGCTCCCTCTGGGGTCACTGCGGCTCAGCTGGGAAGCAGCTGGAGCTCCCTGGCATCCCCATGGCATGGCCTGGGAGCAGCCTTGGCACCGACCAGAGGAAGGAGCTGCAGGGCCTCAGGGCAGCTCTCGCGGGCTTGGCAGGACCAAGGTGCCAGTGGCACTGAGACACCTCTGCCAGGTAGAGGTGAGGGAAGGGACTGGGACAGGCATGACAGAGCAGAGTGGCCTGGGGTGAAGGACTGAGGTGCCTCCTGCCTGGGGGAGCAGGTGTGCACGTGTGTGTGTGTGTGGATGTGCACGTGTGTGTGAGTATGGATGTGCACATGTGTGTGTGTCTGCATGTGGATGTGCACAGGTGTGTGTGTGTGTATGGATGTGCATGTGTGTGTGCGGATGGATGTGCACATGTGTGTGCATATGGATATGTGTGTGTGTGCATGTGGATGCGCATGTGTGTGTGTGTGCATATAGATGTGCACGTGTGTGTGTGCATATGGATGTGCACGTGTGTGTGTGTATGGATGTGCACGTGTGTGTGTGTGCATGTGTATGTGTGTGTGTATGGGTGTGCATGTGTGTGTGTGTGTATGGATGTGCATGTGTATGTGTGCATATGGATGTGCACATGTGTGTGTATGTGCATGTGGATGTGTATGTATGTGCATATGGATGTGCATGTGTGTGTGTGCATGTGGATGTGCATGTGTGTGTGTGCGCATATGGATGTGCACATGTGTGTGTGCGCGCATGTGGATGTGTATGTGTGTGTGTGCATGTGGATGTGCATGTGTGTGTGTGCGCATATGGATGTGCACATGTGTGTGTGCGCGCATGTGGATGTGTATGTGTGTGTGTGCATATGGATGTGCATGTGTGTGTGTGTGCATGTGGATGTGCACATGTGTGTGTGCGCGCATGTGGATGTGTATGTGTGTGTGTGCATGTGGATGTGCATGTGTGTGTGTGTGCGCATATGGATGTGCACATGTGTGTGTGCGCGCATGTGGATGTGTATGTGTGTGTGTGCATATGGATGTGCATGTGTGTGTGTGTGCATGTGGATGTGGATGTGTGTGTGTGCACACGGGGGTGTGTGTGCAGCCCTCCCACCGTCACCCTCTGGGGACAGCGCAGCAGGGCTCTGGCTCATCTTGAGTGCAGGAAGAGGTGAAGCAGAGCCAAGCAATGATGGCAAACACGTGAAGACAAAGTACAGCCCCTGCCCATGCCAAGACACACCATAAGCCCTCCATTGCCCCCAGTCAGGCTCCTCTGCCTCCAATAGCCTGTTGGAGCTCCCTCCATGAAGCAGCAAGGTGTGAGCAGATTTATCCTCCCTCCAACACCCGGCTCTCTCTGCTGCCTCCCATCAGGGATCCCCATCCCACTGCATCCCCCTGGGAGCAGCACCAGCACCTCTGTCCCAGCCCTTGCTGAGGGCTGCCTTTGCTCCCCTGGGATGGGCACTCCTGGCATTCCCAGCCTGCCCAGATGCAGGGGAGGGGCTGCCAGGCTCAGAACGTGCACAGGGATCCGTGCTGCTCCCGGCGCTTCCAAAAGTGAGTCATTTATCTGAGCACTGGGCCACAGAGAGCACAGGCGATCCACTTCTGAGCTGGAGGGAAGGGACATCATGTGTGAGTGTGCATGTGGAAACTTAGAATCACTACCCGGAGATCCAGGACCTGCTCACAAACTGTAAACCCCTCTGCAAGTAAGCTGGTAGCCAACATGGGCACATGCACCGGCCACTGCTGATGAACACTGCCTACCTGCGGCTACTTGGGGAGGGTGGCTCTGGCTCTCTCCCCCTCAGAGCCCCCTTTCCCTCTCACCCACCTGAGCTGCAGTTTTATAGCTCCAGCCCGATGCTTTAGGAGTGAGCAGCTGGAAAATGTTACAGGGTTTAGAAAGCTCCTGCTGGCACTGCCAGTATTGTTCGTCTCAATGTTACTTTATTCATTTCAGCTTGCTCATAACACCACATCCTCCCCTTCCCAAAGCAGCCCCGCAGAAACGGTTCTAGCGAACAAGGGGGGAGGGAAGCGACCTCCCCACCCCCCGCCCCCCAGTAACAGCCCTTTTGCAATTGAATGGAAAAAGTCTCCAGTGAGCGTATGAAGCCCACATTCCTCCTCTGCTGAGTTTTCCAGGTTACTTGAAAACCTATTTGATCTCCGCTGAGTTTGTGCTTTACAAGCAAATGAGCAAATTCCCTCCAAACCAATCCGTGTTTCCACGCGGGGGTCTGTGCACAGCCACCCCCCCGCGCATCTCCCCCATGCCCACGTCCTGCAGAACAGGTACATGCCCGTACCCCCGTTAACACACACGGGCACCCCCGTGCCCTCCGCAGCCCTGACCCCCCCAGGACCGCAGCGCACCCGACCTCCCCCCCCGCACCCCGTCCGCCCCGTCCTGCCCTGCCCACCTGCCCCCGGCACCGGGACCGCTCCCCAGCAGGGGCTGCCCTCGGGGGATGCTGCCCACGGCCGGTACCGCGGGCGCGATGCCCAAGGCGGATGCTGCTGCTGACCCCAGAGGCGCTGGTCCCGGTCCCCGGTGCCCACCGTTTGTGCCCGGTACAGGATGCCCAACGAGCCCCGCCGGTACCCAGGGCCGAGGCCGGCTCCCTGTACGCGCCGGGTCGGTTGCGCGGACGCGGCCGGGGACGCGCAAGGCGATCGCTTACTTGTGCTTGCCTACGGGTTTGGCGGGGCCGAGCTGCGGGCTGGAGCCGGCCGTGTAGAGGCTGTACCTGCCGCCGTAGGGCAGGGGGGCCGCGGGCGGGTAGAAGGCACCCTTGGCGTCGGCGAGGGCCAGCAGCGTCCCCAGCGAGAGGCAGAGCAGAGCCCCGCGGCGGCGCATGGTCCCGGGCCCGGCGGCGGCGGAGCGGGACGGGGCGGGACGGGGCGGCCGCTGCGGAGGGGACCGGAGCGCCGCCCGCTGCGCCCTGCCCTGCCCTGCCCTGCCCTGCCCGGCCCGGCCCGGCCCTGCCCGGCGGCACACGGGGCTCCGCCGCACGACCGACCCCTTTTGTACGGCGGCGGCGGCGGGGCGGGCCGCGCTCCTCCTCCCGCCCTCCCGCAGCCGCCGACCCCCGGCCCCGCGGGAGGGCGGACAAAGCGCAGCCCCCCCGGAACCCTCCCGCGCAGCCCCGGCGCTGGAGCGCGACCGGAGGGGCCCGGGGGGCTGCGGCACCCCCGAGCAGTGCAGGAGCTGCCCCTTCCCCGCTCCCCCCAGCACGGGCCCTTGTCCCCCCCCAGCCCCGGCCCGGCTCTGCCTCACTCACGGGAGGAGAAAGGCAGGAGGGACCTTGGCTGTGCCCCTTCGGCGTGTTTGCCCCGAGGCGATGTGCGCTGCTGGAGACCCACAGCGCGATCACTTGGCCTGATGGAACCGCATCATCAAGGTCCCAGCAAACCGGGCATCTGCGGTTCGCAGGGAGGACAAGTTGGAAGCGATGCTGGTTTGGAGCTTGCATCAGCCAGCCCCAGCAGATCTGGTCTTTGGTGCCAGGCTCCAGGAGGGGTAAGGGAATCCCTTGTGTTTCCCTATAGAGTGATGGATCTTCCACAGACACCAGCATTTATTCCTTGGGAAGGCGGGTTCAGGTCTCCTGCCCCTCCTGTGTGCTGCATCTTGCCTGTGCCCACAGCAGTGTGTGCTGGGTGCTGAGCACCATGCCCTGCCCCAACAGCACTCCCCAGGCACCACAGCACTGACCATAGCAGTGTAAGACCCTTTGTGTGAGCCACGGGGAGCCTTTGCTCTTGGGCAAGGGGGAGAGGACCCTCCCCAAGGGGCGCTGGGCAGTTTGGGATGTGGGTAACATCCCTCCTGCTACACAGCAATGTCAGCTCACAGCCGTGCAGTGGCGAGGCCCTGCAGAAGCAGAGCCAGGCCTGAGCATCCTGCTGTCCTCAGGACACTTGCAGTCGTGAGCATCACCCAGGACCACAGCAAGGGCTTGATGGGGCTCCTGCCCCATGTCAGCCCAGGCAGGGAAGCATCACATGAGGTGTGCAGTGCTTCTCCAGAACTCCTGGAGGAAAACAAGAAGTGGTTTGGAAGGGATGGAATCCCGAATGCAGGAGTGAAACCTGCGGCTGATGGGGGAAGGAGGCATGGAGGCTCAGGCTGACACCGAGACAGAGATGGTGGGATACGGAGACAAACGGCCTTTTCCAGCTGAAAGGAGCCTTTGGCTCAGCGGGAGGTGAACCGAAACGTTAGCAGGAGAGCAGAGCCGGGAGGCTGGAGGCAGCACGAGGAGGAAGTGTCTGTAAGGAGCCGGAGCAGCGGCTCCTCCGCTCGGTGCAGCGTGGTGCGGGTGTTGCTGTGAGCCGCCTGTCAGGCTGCACCGCAGAGCTGGCTGTGCACGGTGTGCCTGGCACCACATGGACTCGTTCCACCCCGCCGGGGTGCTGCAGGGGGACGCTCTATGCGCAGCTCTACACAGCAGACAGAAGGTGACCGAGCTGCACGGTTTAATGCTGGATGTTCAGAGTGAACCTTGCTCGCAGCCCGAGCTCTTTCCCCCTGCGCGCAGGGAGTGCGAGCCAGGTTTAATAACAGCGTGCTGCACGTGTGTGTCTGAGGCCTCAGCAAAAACCATCTGGTGGAGCATGGTGTCAAAGCCCTCGGTCCTGGCCTCCAGTCCTCTCCTGTGATGGGTGGGCACAGCAGGACAGAGCTGCTTTTGCTTCCTCGCTAGCCTGGCTGTCAAAGAGAAGGAGGGATCCATTGCCCTTGTGGGAGAGTGTGTATATCTGCCTGTTCCTGCCATCCAGCCCCAGTGCTGATGCTCCAGGTCACTTTCTGCCAGATTTCATCCTCGGAGGGGCTGAATTCCATTTCCTTGTGCTGTTGTCTAATTGTTTCATGAAAAAAAAACCATCTGGATAGATAGGAGAGTGCTGAACTTGGGTCCCCATTGAGGAAACAGATTCATCATCAGCTCTTTTACAAGACATCAAAGAATCCACATAGGATAGAGCCATTACAAGTGCCCCAAACCATGGGAAAAACTCTCATGTGCCTTCTGAGCTGTGAGCTGATCCAACCATGAGACACCGAGCGGCAGCAAACTGGGATTCATTAAGCTGCACTTATGGAGCAGCCCAGGTTTGACTCGGTGAGCTCATCCATGCTGCTGCTGGTCCCCACCACACCAGGGGCTCTGTGGAGCCTGGCACAGCATCCTGGCTTGGGAGAAGTGCTCATGCGGAGACTCTTTGTACTCGGGCATTCTCCTGGCATGGGCATGTCCCAGAGAAGATGCCAAGCCCCATCTCCCAGAGCTGTGAAGGGTGCTGAGTGCTGGGCTCTCCAGCACAATGGAAGGGCTTTGCCATGCTGAATGAACTGCTGTCGGAAGGCTCTGCAGACCGGCTCACTGGGAACACCAGCCCTTGGTGCTTTCCCTCCTTGCCTTGGCTGGAGAGCAAAGGGGATCAGACCAGAGCTCCTGCTGCTGCTTGAATCTGGCTGGATGCTGGGCAAACCTGAGACCCTTCCCGCAGGGGTGCCTGTCCTGCGGGCAGCGTCCATCAGTGTCCATCAGTGTTCCCATGTGAGCAGCTCCTGCCCCAGCTCAGTGCAGGGAGCACCTGAACCTCCAGGAGCTGCTGATTCTGGCTACAGCTCTCACCTCTGCACAGCCCTGCTCCAAGCCAGCCCGGGAGTGAAAGGGTTTTGTGCTATTGAGAGTCCAGCAGAGACTGAGCCAAAGAGCAGGGCCATTGTGCAGGACAGGAGGTGCTCCTAGGGAGGAGCTCATGGGGGAGATAAGAGCAGAGGTTCCAGGGGCAGCTCTTCCCCTGCTGTCTCTGGAGGAAGGGCTGGGTGAAGAAGCACCGTGAGGCTCATTCCAGGAGCAGATGACACCAAACAGTGACCTGCTCTGCCTCACATCCGTTTTAATTAACACCTGCATGGCCTCATCAGCTGAACAATCCCATCCTTCATGGGTCAGCAGCCCCTGACCCCCCGTTCCCACCCGGGTCCAACGGGCAGTGCGTGCACAGGGCAGTGCCTGCAGCCCCAAACCCTCCCACAGCAATAGGAGAAGGGACTGGGCAGCCCAGGGGCTTGCGTTTGGCCAGAACCAGCCTTGTCCTTCCTAATCCCAAGCTTTAAATAGGTGCTGCTGGAAAGGCACCCGGGTGGGTTCCCCAGCACAGAGGTCAGAGTTGTTGCCATGGGATGGGAGCAGATTGCAGCGAGGGAAATGGAAGCTGGATATTAATAATACACAACTATCTGCTAATAAAATGGATGTAGCCCAGCAGGAGGCTGGATTGAGCCATCTGGATATTTTAAAGGAAAGGTTAGATAAAAAAAAGCTTGTCAGGACCAATTTGGGGCAGGGAAAGGGGTTGGATGGCTTCCCAAGAGCTCTCCCAGCCTGAGTTTTTCCGAGTACAAATTCATTTCCCAAAGTGGCAAGGCAAGAGAGCAGCTCAATTTAGAGGCAGAGTTTCTCCCTAACGATTCCCACTGGATCAAAGGCATTCCTTAAATTGGCACTCGCAGAGGCCTTTTCCCTTGGCAGCAGGTCTGTGTCTGTGTGAGGAGCCTTCTGGAAAGCCCAGCTTTCCCAGGTACACATCCAACAGGATCCATCCAGGGCTTGCTCTACCATCGGAGCCCCTGTGAGACACCACAGCTCTGGGGTAGCAGCCCAAGGGGAGCAGTGACCCAGGAGAGCCAGGAGCCCTCCAGGTGCTCCAGTTCCCAGCTAAAACTGAGCTCATGGAAGCCCACCATGGTCATGGCTCAGCTGCAAGGCTGGAAGCTCTTTCTGGCTCCCAGTACATGCTTCTGCCACATCCCAGCTCCATGCAGGGCATGGACCACTGCTCCCATTGGCCCCAGTGAGCAGGAGATGCAGGCATGTGGGCAGGAGGCAGCCGGTGGGATCAGCAGCCAAGGGAATGCCCAAACATCTTCCCTGTGCACTGAGGTTTTGCTGTGGGTCAGGCCCTGGCTGCGGTGCCAGGGGTGCGAGTGCAGTGTGTGCCCCCCAAGCTGTGGGGCAGGGGGTACCCGGCTGTGCCCATGCTGCAGAGGAAGCTGCGCCCGGGGGCTGAGAACAGACCCCCTTTCTTCGTGGGAAAGTGCAATGACTTGAAGTGATCAGACAGCCTTATCTCTGGTTTCCAAAGCCACACGCTGATCATTTGTCAAGATTAGCGCGTGCGGTAGAAGGGATGGAGCTGTTCCAAACCCAGCTCACAGCTCTTCCCTGGGCTCAAAGCCATTCATAAAAATGCCAGAGCAGCAGCGGCGGCGGCAGCACACACTGGGGCTGTGGTTTAGGGAGGACTAGGAGGGGTCAACCACAGGTTATACAAGCTCCGAGTGGGGAGAAGAATACACAGGTTGTGTTATTTGTACATCCGTTAGCATCCTTCCTCCAGGAAAGCACGCAGGGAGGCCAGCAGGGAAGGTTCAGCAAGGACAAGGGGCAGGCAGGAGGTGATGTACTTAAAGAGACCCTTTCCCATCCATGCCAGGACCCAGGGGAACAAGAAAAAGCATTATCAGGCCACAGCTGTGGAGCAGGAGCAGTCTCCAGGGGCTGTCTCAGTTGGATGCAGCAGCGCATGGATGCAGGGTGAGGAGGATGAAGATGGAGCAAGGGAAGAGGTGACACCCTCCTGTAAGCTCAGCTGGTCCCTATCAGTTTAAGCTCAGCTGGGCAGGGCCCTGGGAATGCTATAAAATGCTGGGTGCCTATGGTGAGGAGCAGGCAGTATTTGGGGTAGGGTTTAGGTGGATGTGGAGGAGAGAAAGCTCTTCTGTTGGTAGGTAAAGGTCTGGGTGAGCAAAGGGTCTCTACTGTCAGCTCCTGCCTACCTTCAAGGGTATCCTCAAAGC